ACTGTCTGGCTGTCTGTGCGCCCATCATTTTTACGTAGAGTATTAAAGGTATGTAGGTGTGTACAATGGGTCACGCGCCTTTGCCCTGAAATGAATATTAAATTGTCCTCCTATTTTCTCACCATTCAGTTTACTATTCGTCCGTTTGCTTTTCATACATTTCTGTCGATCAGTGATTAATTGCTTTTTCCGCTTCGCATTATTTGAATGAAGTCCTTTATATGTACCTGCATACCTGCGTAAAAATTCACACTTTTTATGGTGTTTACAAAACAATGACACTTGTCTGTATTATTTCTGTAATTATTCAATCTATTCATTGAATTTATTTACCTTTCGAATTGAAGTGAATAGTGTGAATTATAACAAAAGTTGCTGAAAAATATGGACTTTTTTATGCCGACTAAAGTGCAAATTATGTTGTTATTTTTAGCACTCAACAATAAATGTTTTTATATCCCTTGCATGAGTTCTTATGAATGCCGTTTCAATTTTAAAACTATTCAGCTTTAATTGTTGAGTAATTCCCATGTAGTTGAATCTATGCACATGAAATATATAAAATTGCAATTATGTATGGGTTGTATGGGTATGTTAGTAAACAAAAATGTCGCATTTGGAGTGATGATAATTTACAAGGCGTTGTTGAAACGTCGTTACATCATCAAGAAGTCACCATCTGGTATGTTCTGTGGGCGGAGGGAATCATTGGTCCATATTATGTTGAAATCCGGGTGAATGTGCAAGCTGTAACTTGAGTAAAAATTGAGATATCTTGATGAAACTTGGTACACACTTCTTGGCACCGTAAGAGGATTGTAGATGGACGTAATCGGATCATTGCCACGCCCACAAAATGCCACTAATCGCAAAACCAATAAATTGCTATAACTAAGCTCCACAGGACTGTTATTTGGTACAATAAATTACATTAGGTAGACTCTCCTTCAGTTTAAAAAAAATTTAAAAAGTAAGCTTGACCCCCTATAATAGGTTTATTGTGAATATCTCCCAAGCCGCTTAAGCTAAAATAAAAAAATTCACTCAAGATAAATCTTCTAAACTTCTAACGATGGTGTGAAAATGTGTGAAATCGGGTAATGACACCGCCCAAAATTGGACAATGGGCATGCCGCCATCTTTTTTATGAAAATATCGGTCAATGTTAAATACCATATCTAATTGAAATTCAGTGAAGATCCTTTCCTGGTGCTAGTATATATATGTGAAAAAAGTGGGTTGAACCGGTTCAATACTTCCCTTAGCCCTCATATACCTAATATAAAAATTTTCGAACTTTCGGGTTATATCGAATATATCGGCCAATATGTGTGTTATCTCAATAAAAATGAGCGAACGTGTTCAGGCATAATAGGGTATCTCTGTGCCTAAAATGGGTAAAATCGGGGGAAAACTTCACCTAGCCCCCATATAACTAATATAATTATTTTCGAACATCCGGCTGACTTTATTCCATATGATTGGAAGTGAGGTACAGTAATGAAACTCTGAGCGCATTTTATTGGTCTTTGGCATGTTAATAGTATATGGGATTCGCAAAAATAGATAAAAGCGGGTCAATATTACCCCCAATTCCCATATTGTGCCATATAATTATTTTCGTTTTTCTAACAAGTTTTATGCCCCGAATATGCCCCATATAATGACTTCCGTCGTTCCACCTGACTTTAAACTGTTCAGGTTAGTCAAAATGTGATATTTTATTAAAACTATATGGTCAAGTTTTCTTTATAATTATGTAGCTTGGCGCTGAATTAGAATATATACTTTGGTCTAAGCCTCAAATCCCTAATATATTGAATTCCGATCCTCTGATTGACGATTTCCACATCACCTCAATATATATTAAATTTAGCCTACTCGGTCGAGTTAATATCACATACACATAGTACCTCATTTGAAGGTGTTTTTAATATAATTTGAGCTGACACCATCTAAACTACAGCAATATAACTGAGTCTAATGGTATTCAATATAAGTCAAGAAGATACGAAATTTTATTGTAATTTATTCAAGATTTCATCGAATAATGGATGTTTAATTCTTTTGCAACATTTCTTAATTTAATTTTTAAAAGTTTGGCAGCACCTAAAGATTGTTCCCGCGTTTTGGTTCCTACAAGTTATAAAATCTTCAAACTTAGCTTTTCTTTACTTGCGTTGCTAATAAATTTGCAAGATTTGCAAACATTGTTTTGAAGTAAGTCTGTTTATTATGAAAGCCAATCTGGGTATAAATCAAGCAACAGCTTTTTAAAAGACCAACTCTGAAAAAAGTATTGCCTTATTGAAAACCATACGTCTAAAAAACACTCTTCAATATTGGATGCACAAATAGGAAGACTTAACATATTTCAATATAGAGGCATGAGATTCATTCAATTAAAAGTAAATTAACTTTAAAATTAAGCTTGTTAAGTATAAAGCAAATTATATTTGATCATACCATAAAAGTGATTTTTAGCTTAAAATATTGGATAGAAAGTAGTGCTTTTAAAAAACGATTTATAAATAATGTAAGCTAGGTAAATAAATCAGATCTATAGATAATAAGATAAATTTATTAAATAAAATTAAAATTAGTTTTAATTGTAAACTAGGCTTTGATGGTAATAATAAAAAATAATTTACATAAAGAATAATTTTAAGAACGTACTGTATAAGTGTATCGCGCATGATGACACCTATGTTGAATATTAAGTATAATTTTATCAAAAAGAAAGATTTTGCGATACAGAAAAATATTTACAGCCATTTTCTAAGCAAACTATGTATTTATAAGTCAACATATATACACTACACGTGAATATGTTTTAAAGGCACGATGCATGTTAAGAACTAACAACACCGTAGGCAACAATAAACAAACACATTTTAAAAGGGAATAATGTTGTTAAAGTTCGTTGCTTTTTGTGACGTTTAACATATTGCAATCCACTTCAACGAAGCTGCGTCAACACTTTTAATTGTATTGAGGCGCTGAATTGTGGGTAAATTTTAAGAACGTTAAACTTGGTGATCGCAAAGGTGTGCCTTCATTGTAATGGTAAACTTTCATCTACCGGTATTGTGTACAGTGTGTAGAGAAAAATGTTTCTCAGAGAATATAACTGCTTTTTTACCTAACGGTCTTTGTAAAAATTAAATGTAATCGAGGTGAATATCTGTTAATATTTGCCAACAATTAATTTAAACTTAATATTAATAGGAACCATAAAAACAACGTTGGCACATAGCAATTATTTATAAGATTAAACATAACATAATATATCAAAGTTTGATATCACATAATGTAACGTAACATAACGAATCATTTGATAACTTACGATGACTTAAGACAAAATAGCAAAACTTAACATGGAATAACTTAACATAAAAACCTAACATAGGACACTACACAACTTAACACAATCTTCAACACAAGCCACGTAGTATAATATCACTCATACGCACTGTACAATCAATTCTCCCAACATTTACAAGGCAACACATTGCCTACCTATTCGATAGTTTTGCGATGACCTATTTAGTTTGGCAAATCTATTACTGACGTTTCTATGTAAAGAAGGTAAACAGCCTTGTTATGTCTATGCTTTTGAGTTCAAAATCTTTACAAATTTAATCAATTATTAGCCTTTGAGGGTCAGAAGTTCGCTGAATATTTTACACTTACACAACGCTGCATCACTTGCTGAATATTTTGTTGACATGCAAATCTACAAACATATTTATAATACTCTAGTATCCAGCTTGATCCAACTTAAAAGATAGTTCGTATCAAAATTATATTGAAAGTCAAAACAATTCTTAAATAAAAAAACTTTAACATACGTTCAATATTAAAAAAAAATAACAATAACTATTTGGAGTAAAATGCCGAGAAAAAGATCAAAACTCAACAATTACTCGAAGAATTGCGCAGAACAAGGTTTCAACTATCAATTCGCTGGTACTGTCTTACCACGTGTGTCGCCATGTCTAAAAATACGTCTAAACACTAAAAAATAACATATTTCGATTTAGATTTAAGTCTTTATTCCAATGGACAAATATTTTTTTCAATCATATTCAAATGTGGACCTCAAGTTTATTCAGTTGGATTCTTATACTGGCAATGATGTTTACGTCTTTATTCATAATTAATACTCTTTACTGTATTAAATAGTATATTACAATAATATTATATTTAATGTAAACAAAAGCTATAGTAACAGCTATCCGCATTTTCTGGTATTATTATATGCAATAAATAATATTTTTATTTTTCTAGATAATTTCTTGGACTTAATAACTCAATCTAAAAGTAATTTATCAAATTTTTGTTAGTTGTCAGCAGTTTGAACTCAAATACTTTAAAGTTAGTATATGCAAATTTTGTGCGTTTGAAAGTATATACATTTAGGGTCTAATAAGCCGACTGATTTCGCAATTTGGCGAAAGACTTATAAATTTTTATTGAACATACTCGTACTTATTAAGTGTTCAACAAACATTTACGTATTTGTGTATAAATGTCAGCGTGACGAGCTGAGTCGATTTAGTCATGTCCGTTTGTCTGTTCGTCTGTATATATATACGCGAACTAGTCCCTCAGTTTTTGAAATATCGCTTTGTGATTTACACACGTCTTTTTCTCCCCAAGAAGCTGCTCACTTATTGAAACCACCGATATCGGAGGACTAAAGCATATAGCTGCGATACAAACTGAACGATCAAAATCAAATCCTTATACGGAAACTTCTTTGTTTGTGAAGGGTATTCTAGCTTCGGAGTAACCGAAGTAAACATTTTTTCCTGTTTAAATTAAAATTAAGTAAATTTGCATTCATTATTAAAAATTCTTCTTTGAGAGCATCACTCTTATAGTTGGAGGTTGGAAACAACAGAACAGAGTTGTCAACACTTACTACCCATGCATTTAGGTTACTTTAAAAATTAGAAGCTGTAATAATTCAACAACAATAAATTGATAAAATTTACCTAATCAGTGTGGTAATTAATTTTTCGCTTCTTCTAGGAACTCACAATTTTCACCAAACAGGTGCTGGGCATTAACACACTGTGCGTCGGTATCGCAGCAGTCGTTACGCTTAATAAACTTTATTACTGTTTCACTTTTTATGAGTGTTCACTGCACACTTCGTCGCTTTGCCGTGATTTTCACTATTTATTTATTTCCTTTACTTTCTACACCCTCTGTCGGAGCACTTTGTTGTTATTGTTTTCACCTCCATATTGTTTTCGCGTTTACTGTTACTTTTATTTATTTTTTGTTGCCTTGCAACGGTGTCGCTTTCATTTTTTGTGTGAGTGTGATTTACATGCACTTCCGTTGCCGGTTTTTTAACTGCTTCCCATTTAATACACAAACACCAAATACCCTTAGCCGATTCTCATAAATGCTAGACAAGTACGCACGAAAGGCAGCCACTGCAAATGACAGGGCTAATTGCTAGCTAACAGTCGTCGAGTGGCACGTCGTGCAGGTGTTAACTTCAATGCACATGTACACGTATGTGGCTGTGTGAAGGCTTTTGTGAATCGAAGCGTCTATATTTATACTATAACTAATGTTGTTGTTATTGTCAAAATATTTTTGGTATAGTTGTTGTATTCCTAAATGGTGCTAACCATTTACGAGTTTTTTGTTTTTGTTGTTGTTGTTTTATGTTTATGTTAATTTATACGAGTTTTCGTATCTGGCAGTCCAAATTTCATTTAGGCACCCTCCAGACAATTTGAAAGCCAACACACAATTGATTGCCGCGTTGCAATTCAAAGGTCACCAACTCTAGCAATTACGCTTTATTAATTTCGAGTAGTATGTCATTTGTAGTCGTTACGATTAAGGCTGGAAATTCATTTACCGGCCGCTCAAATATTATGACTGCCGACAGCTTTGTAATAAATGCTATATTCACTCATTTAATTTACTCAGTTTTCTACGGTTTATATGATATTCCACGTGCTAATTGTTTTTTGTTGCTGTTATTACTTGAACGGTTGGAGTAATAAATTTTGATGTGCTGTCACCAAATTTAATTCAATGAAAAATGGCACACTATGATGGGTGCGCGCCGAAATCGCGTGATTTGTTTCTGTCTGCCAACGAAAAATTCGTCAAATTAATGAGTTCCTATATCCCACGGTATTTAGCAAATTCGCTGCCATAACCAGCTATGTGATATGTGCGCTTACATGGATAATCGTAGAATAGCGTACTTCGTATCGAGCTACGAAATTCAGTAAAATATTTTTTTCACATGTCGTTATTTGTTTTAAAATAATAATATTTTCACATTATACACTCAACAACAAATCGTTTTTTATTTATTCTACTCTCACAGCATTCACGCTTGCAAAATATGCTTTGCCGCCGAAAGCGTCTGCACACGTTCGCTTTTCAAACGTAACTGCCACTTGTTATCCTTTCGTGTCGGCTCGTCTGCCATGCTACGCACTGATTCGTTTGACATCGCCAGCGCTTATCCAACTACAATCTCATTGCTATCGTTACTGTCATTGCCGTGCTGAGGGACGAACACTAGCGCACAACTGCTGCTGATGGTGGTGTTGCTGCAATTGCTTTTACTGCTGCTGCTGCTACTGCTTCTCCTATGCCTTTACTGTTGCTTTAACGTTTATCGCCGTCAGTATTGTTCATTGTCGGCGTGCTCGTCGTGGTAATCATCGTCTTTGTGTGTTTTTAAGCATATTATTATTTACTTGTTGTTATCCCAAACGTTGTCTTTGGTTGGCTGTTAGAGTCAGTGTAGGTTTCGTATCTTCGGGTATTATGTTCGGCTCAGTAAATTCACCACATTTACACTCTTCGCTTCTAGTTTTCCTTTCTCTCATTTACAGTGAAACTCTCTCTCAATTGTGGGTGATTCGTGGTTTTCTCTTGCAGTAAACTATTGGAAACACGTGCTCGCTTTATAAACTTGGTGAGTGGGCATTTATTGATACCTATTTATAGATATTTATGTATAACCCCCGGTAGAATCATGATGCACATGATAAGTTTGTTAACATAACGGTTGTCTGTTGCAACATATATACAGTTATCGAGACAATAATTATGTGAAGTGTTATTACGCCTTAAATACTTATAAAGGGTGTTTTTTTAGGAGTATAGAACTTTAAATTGCAATAAAACAACGATGGATTATTCGATTGACATGAATTTTTTTTATGAGAGTTATCAATAAGAGAAAACGTGGTGCGAAAACGGTTTATGGTTGAACGTAGTACGCGATACGTATTCCGCACAGAACCATTATTTTCGAAATAAAATTGAACTATTTGCAAGCGTTGTTCAGGCGTGAGTCTATTCAGAATGAATTGCTAAAACGAACTGAGAATAAATCACTTTACAGCTGTTAAATCGGTCGCCATCTTGAACAGTAATGCCAACTTATAGTCCTATACCTCGAAAAAAAACACCCGTTATATGCGGTACGAAAATAAACCCGCGAAAAACACAATTGCTCATCGATCATACTGTAATTTTGGTTTCATTCGTATTTGCGCCTAGAGTGTAACATTTTTTTTGACACTACAATCATTTTCATCAGACACAATAAAATCATTTGCACCAATTGCATTATATTAAACAAAAATAATCGTTTTATAAGGTAAGTACGTTACTTTTAACCAGTCTTTTAGTAGTAATGTTTTCGTTGTTTATTGAGTATTCTATTATGTACATTTGATCCGAACTGATACTTTCAAACTGTGGGCGCAAATCGATTATATGTCAATTAGAATCTGTCTGGCAGCTGCTTGCTTACGATGCGAAAAGTTTGTCTGCCGACTTTTACTATGAAAAAAAAAAAAAAACTTGAGCAACGAATTTGCTTGAAATATTTAATATCCAATATAAACACGAAATTATTGAAAATATCAAAAGCTTGCTCCATGCGATTCGTTCATCCATCTCTGTTAATAATGATAACATCGAAAAAGTGTTGAAAAATCGTGTTGCCATCAGAGAGATAGCAGAGAATTCTTTACATCTGCTATGGATCGACTCAACACGGTTTGTTCAATGTTTCTTAATCTTTTCTAAAAAACGACGTCGAGTAGAGGTCGCAAAAAAAGTAAATACTGGACAAGGTAGTACTGTTCATAAAACGCATTATTACTGGAAACGAGACCGAGATGAATTTATGAATATGACGTCGAAACTGTCCAACAATCAAACGAATGGCACTCCAAAAATAAGGAATCTCATAACTTTTTTTTCATCTTTATTAATCTTGTACAATGTCGGAATCACTTCTTAAAAGAGGGCCATGGTGATTCTAGGAATTCATGCCATCTGAAATGAAATAAAAAACTGTACCGTTTTTGTTTTTAATAAATTTTCACAAAATGGTGAACTTGTATGTAAAAAAAGTATTGATTGAACTCGATCCTTTTGTTTCCGTATTCTATCAAACTTTCATCGTAAGAGACGAAACGAAATTGCACCTGGTGTGTTACTTTAGTACGATATTTTGTACATTTTCTTTATAACAGTAAATCTATATCTACTATTTTATACTTTTACTTAGAATAAAATTGTTATAACGGGTACAAAACATTTTCACTATTGTGGAAGGACTGGACGCTATATTTTATTTGATATGTAAAAATCGTATAACTTTGAAGAAACAAGCATCAATTACATTTGAAAGAAGTGTATTCAATAATTTTGCCAATCAAAATAAAATGTGCTATTTTTATACGAACTTTTACTTTGAGCACGCCAATATTCCTAGGCTTACTGGCGTACACTTTGTTTCTCAAAGAACTTAATACAAACAAGTAAGGAAGGGCTAAGTTCGGATGTAACCGAACATTTAATACTCTCGCAAAGTCAAATGGTATACTCGTTTGAGATTTCTTTGTGGATTGACTGATATTTTCGGTAGAAGGTCAACTATAGGCACTGGGGTCCACATATTTAGTACTTAGGGGTTTGAACAGTTTTGGTTCGATTTAGACAATTTTTGGCCGCAAGGTAGCATACCTTAATTGCATTATTCACGCAAAGTTTTACCCCGATATAATCATTGTTACCTGTGGAAAGTGAAAGAATCAGATGGAATTGAAAATGGTGTTACATGGGAAGTAAGCGTGGTTGTAGTCCGATTTCGCCCATTTTCGCACTATGACATAGAAACATGAAATAACGTTCTGCACCGAATTTGGTTGAAATCGGTTGAGCAGACCTCAAGATATGGGCTTTCACCTAAAAGTGGGCTGTGCCACGCCCACTGACTAATTTTGAACGCGGTTCCTATAAAGCCAATTTATACCATCTCAGAGATAAAATTTAATGTCTCTGGCGTGTTTAGTGCTTGATTTATCGCGCTTTTAGTAGTTTTTAACAGTACCATTATAAGGGGAGTGGGCGGGCTTGTCACCTGATTTCACCGTCAATAGAGGTGTTAAAAATATTTGCTCCCAGTAAATTTGGTTATTGTAGCTTTAGCGGTTTATGAGATATGCACATTAAAGTTAATAGGGGTGGGATCACGCATTCTTAAAAAAAAAGTTTTAACTGCAGATGCCCCTCCCTAATGTGATCCTTTGTACCAAATAACAGTCTTGTATCTTATTGCGGAGCTTAGTTATAGCAAGTTATTTGTTTTTGAATAATGGCGTTTTGTGGGCGTGGCAGTAGTCCGATTACGCCCATCTGCAATACCAACCGTCTCACGGTACCAAGAAACATGTCTACCAAGTTTCATAAAGATATCTCAATTTTTACTCAAGTTAGAGCTTGCACCTTACGGACGGACGGACGGACGGACAGACAGTCACCCTAATTTCAACTCGTCTCTTCATCCTGATCATTTATATATATATAACCCTATATCTAACTCGATTAGTTTTAGGTGATACAAACAACCGTTAGGTGAACAAAACTATTATACTCTGTAGCAACAGGTTGCGAGAGTATAAAAAGTTTGGGGAAATCGAATGTAGAGATGTGAGTGGACTAGGTTATCTCTCTTTGACAAAAGGTATCCAGTGAGTTTTTGACGCATATTTCTAGGTAACCATAAATCTCCATTATCCCCATACATACCGATTTCCATAAACTGTTTAGTTTTGTTTAAAAGGTATGACAAAAAAGTCGTCGATAAATCAAATTCTGTATAGATCTGCTAGTTCACCGGAAAGGTTGAAAGAAAGAGATTCCAGATATTTCAAAATCAATTTTATGTAATCTGCATAATCCAAAAGAAAGTGCCGGCATAACTTAACCCAGGCAACTTCAACAACTGGTTTTATATACTGTTTATATACCCTGAAAAGGGAATATTAAGTTTGCCACGAACTTTGTAACACCAAGAAGAAAACTTCGGAAACCAAATAAAATATATATAAGTTACCTACATGACGAGCTGAGTCGATTTAGTCATGACCGTCCGTCCGAAATTTTCCCTCAAGTTTTGAGATATCGGTCTGAAATTTTGCATACGTCCTTTTCCTCGTTAACATAAGAATATAGTATATAGCTGCCTTGCAAACTGACCGATTGGAATTAAGTGCTTGTATGGACAACTTATTAATTTAAATTGATATCTTTATCAAATTTGGCATGGAAATGAGCGATCAAAATCAAGTTTTGGAAGGAAGCTTTGTATTTGTGAAGGTCACCTTTTTGTTGTTTTAAGATAGACGTATAAAATGCCTACCACTCGTTTAAAATTTGCTATTAATTAACGGCTAAATACACAACTTCACAATTAGTGGTATGTATGTTTACCGTCACAAAGCAAGAAGCTGCGAAAAGACGGTCGGCAATTGAAACTTATTTGGTTAGACAAATGAAAGCAAAGAGCAAAGTTGTTTTTATTTTCGTCTTGGCGCTATTACACGTAACATACCCTTTCATAGTCTCACCCACCAGGCATTCAATTTTAAAGCAAACAAGCACTTATGTTAATTTATGTGATATATATAGTAAGTTTGCGGCATACATTTGCATTATTTTAGAAGTGAATTCATTTGCTGACCATTCTATTTCCAACACCTATTTCTACGTGAGCGTGTGTGTGCTTTGAAGCATGCAAACACATTTTATAAGCATATTTGCCCAGTAGAAAATATTTTTCAAGTTCTCCGCAAATACACTCATGCGCTGGCAGCTATCAAATTTTCTATTCCGTCATTCTTCAACGAAATTCATATGTGTCCGCACCGAAATAGAGCGTGTGTAATGCATGAATCTAACCACTTGACGTCAATTGCAGAAGAGTTTTAGGAAATGCAGAATATTAAGATCTCTTTTGGTAAAGCGTTTTTGTTTTTTTGTTTGAAAGTAATGAACAGAGAATTTGGCAATAATAAATACTAATGTCTTTAGCGTTTTAGCACATTTTATAAATAACTAAAGAAGGTAAAGCGTCGCGACTGCAATTGCGTCTCAGTTTCAGGGATTAAGAATAAAAAAAAGTTGACAAAAAGGTATGAAAATAATTTTGTTAAACGATGCAATATAATTTTATTAATACTCGTATGAATAATATTGACCAAACTATAATATTAAAAATATAAACATGTAAATAAAGCAGAATAAAACTAAATATATAGGTATTAAGCATTTTAAATCGCTTACAAAAGTAGAAATCAAAATTGAAGCATATACATGTACGCCACTGTAAGTCTGTGCTGCACAAGTATTTGCATTTGATT